ATGTCAAACGTCGCCCGCACCTATTTTAGCACTTGTTATATTTACGATCTTTATTTATTAGGTATATTCGTTTTTTTTCGCTTTTTCCATGCGTGTATGGCAGCCATTCTGTTTGAAAAGGTAATTTTTTTTCGCCTTGAGTATATTACATTTTTAGTTAGTGTATTATTCTATTTAAAAAAATATCACCGCGTGTCGTGAGTTTTATTGTCGCAGCGTTCGTTTCGATTATCGAATGATCGAATCGAGTTCAATAGGATAGTATAATATAACATAATTTAATTGTGTCCGCGCTGCAAAATGGGAGCACAAAAAAACGTTTATATGCTTTTGTAAATTACGATCAATAAATCTAGACGACCGGAATTCGTTCGTGAATTACTCAGTGACGTATTTATTATATCCTATAGATTTTATGTATAATTTTATTATACCGGTCGTGTCCGGGCTCAAAGACACTTGTCGGATTCGTTTTTAGTTTGTTTTTGTGTGTGTGTGTGTGTGTGTGCGCGCGCGCGCGCGCGCCTTTCGTTTCTCGTATTATTCTCGTGAGGCTTTATGCCGCCGCGCTAATGGTTCTGCTGCGCGCGGGGTATACGGTGTCTCTGGGACACTTTTTCTATATACCCAATAAAGGTCATTTTTCCCATTAAATTCCTATATAATGTAGGCGTATAGACGTACGCATACGCACCGAGGACGGCGGCGGCAGGACCTTTCAGTTTCTATAGAGATAACACGTATAATTTATACCTAGGCGACACAACAATAACGACCGGTCGGAAGTCCTTTTTTACACAAACACTCTGAACGTGGAACCGAACGATTAATACGTATAATATTATTATTCTGTCGGTAGGTATACGGTCAGGTTATTTTTGTATATTATTATGTTCGATATTCTATTCGATTCGGTAAAATATCAATCGACTTATTTATTGTTGTTCTTTTTTTTTTCTCTTTTTCTTTCATTAATTTTATTCGCGAAAAATCGTTTGAAGCGATTCGCCGAACGTATATACGACATTGTGTTGTAGAAAAAGGTCGCGTACCGTAAAAATACCTAACTATTTTTTTTTTTTTTTTTTATTTTAATAAAACGCGCGTTTAAAACGTTGAAGTCCAAAAACGTCACGCGATCGATGTACATTTTTCGCACATAATAATTTATAAACGGAAATGAAATATACGTGTTCTCCAACGTACTAATAGTATTATGCTATAGATTTTTTTAAGCCAAATATACAGAAAATTAATTCTCGTAGAACTGTCGCGTTAAAAGAAAAAAAAAACCGACTTATGAAAAAACTCCGATTTGCGTATCGTCGCCGTCGGGGAATACTAATACTTCGACAATTTTTTCGAAATTGTACAAATTACAATGTAATAAAAATCGAATCGTCTTTTCGTCGAATTTCCATCGAATCGTCTTTTCGTCGAATTTCCATCGAAAAGTCTCTGCCGCACCTGCAATATAGCCATATAGGTGTGTCTATAATATTTTCCCCGCTATCTTTGGAATATTTTACGGTGCCCCCCTCCCCCTTAAACTCGGTGACAATAGTCGTTTTTCAGGCGGATTTAAGTGATACAATATTCTGATTGAATTTCATTACTAATTTTAATAATCGCACGTGTTTTATTCGGTTTTAATTATTCCAAACGAAACCGCGAAAATGAAATTGTGTACACACGCATTGCGTTATAGTGTTGCGAATGTGTATTTCGGGGTTTTCAACCATAAATCCCCCTACCGTTTTTATGATTTCGCCCATTTTTTTCTGGGATTTTTTTCATTATTATAAAATGTAATACAAACAAAATTCTCAAAATAATAACAAAACAATAATTCCGAAATTCAATCGATTGTTTTGGTGATTGTAAAGTAAAATAATTCAATTTCTATTTCCGATATATCCTTTAGTAAACAACCGAAAAAAATCGTAATCCTTTTTCAAAATGAATATCCGTCGAACACAATTCGTACAATTTTGTACGCCTCTCGAGTCGCCGAATTTTCGTACTCAAACAATAACTCCGATAACGACAATATTATTGACGTACAGTTATAGATAACCCATTCCGGAACGAATATACTTCTCCTTTTATAATATACGATAACAACGAGATAAACGGTCGATGAGAATTAAATTTGATTGTGACGGGAAGATTTCTCAAACGGACATCTTAAAAATATTTTTTACTCTGGTGACTGTATAATAATACTGTAGACTATGATTTAGTAAACAAACTTTTCGTACGAGCCTCCCTGAGTTTTAAAATACCGAAAAATTGATTTTCCAGATTAGTTTTACCATTCGTTCGATTATAGAGCGAACAGAGGGTTTTGGCGAAATCGTTTATAGTGCAACTATTGTACGCCGGTATTCATACGCGGATGCACTTATCGACAAACCGGTAACCTATACAAGTTTCCGATAAACATCACGGCCATCGTGGTTATAGGGAAGGCAAGGACGTGATTTACCGTACGGCTACCGCTAGATTCAAAGGCGTTATTAGTATATTTTGTCTTGTTCGTGTTTCGTTATTGAGGTAACCGTTGAAAAAACAAACGGGCATACTTCGCACGACGGACGGACGGCCACTGTAGTTGTAGGCGAGAGGTCGGGAAGGTATAGTAGAGATTTAATGTTTATCTGTACGTAAAGATTAATCGTTTCTGACGTAAAACGATTCCGAGCGGAGTTCGGTTTTACACGTTTCGGAAGGCCGTAATATCTACGATTTGAAAATAATACGTTTCGTGAATTTTCCCGTTTTTTATGGAAAATCTCTGGGAAAGTCGAAAAAAGACCTCCCTGGCCACTACAGTATTCAAAATCCCTTTCGGAAAAAGTTCTCCGCGCTTGAAAATCGGAGCGAAATTCTCGGATATCGTAGCGTTCGAAAGTTTTTTCCCCGTTGTTCCGGTTCGGTTGCCAAGTATACATAGGTGTCGAATACACGCCAATCACGTGTTAGGGCCCTAACGTTTTTCGCGCGATTTCGGCCAGTTTGATTGTCGATTGTGGTTTTTCTAAAAGTAAAATCACATTCGAATATATAAATATACAAATATAAAAATAATATAATATTTCACGTTACCGGGAATTTAATTATGGTAGACGTACCGACGGGGTTATTACGGGCTTTGTCGGCGACCGGAAACGGCGTTCGATAAGACTGTTGTTTTCCCGAAACGCGAAGAGTATTTTTAGATTTTTTTTTTTTTTTTTTTTCGTATTTCGAAAACAACAAACCGTGACCGCCGCCGATTAGATAATAATAATCCATTAATCACAGGCGATCGTTTTTTCGAACCGTAATTCGTATACTCCTCGGATTTAATTGATCGGCGGGGCGTTTGGACCGAAACCCGCGTAAAAAAGAAAATCCCCCGCGGAAAAATCCCCGAAGCAACTAGGTGTACCGTCAAAGTTAATCGTGAGCGGGAAGAAGACAACGAATAAAAAAAAAAAAAAATCGAATTTAGTTTAATCGTCGACGTTTTGAGCGTGCATCGTGTTGCGCGCACAGCTGTCGAAAATGATAACGTTAAATAATTTTGAAAAAACAAAAAAATTACAAAACATCGCATGTTGTAGGCATAAAACCATTGAAACGTGTTTACTTTTCCCTCGCGCGGATCCGACTGCAGTTGGCACGGTCGCCCGGTTTTGTAAATCGCTCTATCGGCACTGAAGACGTTTACCGACCGTAACAACCCGCGTAACGGCTAATAACGCGCAGTTACCAGATATGTGCACGTCCGAACGTCTAATGTACTTTTCTGATTTCGCATTTTATCGCTCTGAACGATTGATTTCAGACATTCGGCGACCGAAATCAGGCGGTGGCGGCCTTCCTCGAGAGAGAGAGAGAGAGTGAGTAGGCAGACAGCGCGGTACTATTCGAGAAATTATTCTATTTTATTATTATTATTTTTTTTTTTCGGAATTCGTGCCGTTTCGTTTGTCTGTCCGTAGACTAAAAAACCGTACGGATGACGTTGGTCGGACGGCAACTGATGCACGCGTGCATGATAAAAAAAATCGACGCAGGCGTGTCAGTAAACTTTTTTTTAAATATCATTACTATTGATGGACGGTAGTATAGTTGTTTACAGGGGGATTTATATGCAGGGATTTTTTTTTTTTTTGCTCGTTTTACCGTTTGGACCGAATCGGGACGGTTTTCGGAGATATTTCGCCTGCGCCCGCGGAAACGGATCTGGATCCGGCGACGCCGAACGGGCGGACGTGACGCGTAAACAGAAAGTGTCTGAAGTGGTGTTTGTGGGCGAACGTCATGGTGTACGGAATTACGCGTTTAGTTATGACTCATTCCGTTCATTTCGTACGCTTTTCGCTTATATTTTTTTCGCAAACCGTTCGCGTATATTCTGTTCGTCCGCGTCGGAAACACCCGACGGACAAGAGATCGACGACTACCGTCATAACACGGCGGCTGTGGGGTCCGGGGTATTTTTACGACGGGCCGGTTAGTTTTCGTCGGGAAATAACCCGAGGCGTAGTCACCGCGAACGTTACAAATGAAAAATTCGCGTAACGCAATACGACGGCCGGACCACCAAAAACCGGCGCGGATCGACGACGGCGTGCAACAGTCTAAAACGACAAAACGAAACGGAACGGTTTACAAGAAAATCAACTCGCCCGTACGAAAATATCGTAATAATATTTTAATAGTATACGCCGGGGCGGCGGCGGCGGCGGCGGCGGCGGCGATCGCTGTTGATTACCGTCGCGGCCGCCGCCGCCGTCGTCGTCGTCGTCGTCGTCGTCGTCGGACGGCCGCCCGCAGTCGGTCTCTCGTCGGCGCGTTCCCTACTTCCACCCCATTTGCCGGCGTCCGGCGGTGGTGGGAACGAATTAGGCGGGGCCACGCCGGACCCCTCGGCGCCCGTCCGCCCGCCCAGCGACGGGAGCGAGCCGGTTTCCGAAAATCCGGCAAAAATAATAATATTATCGCAGTGTCATCCGTATGCTCCGGCCGCACGTTCTGCTCTCCCGTCGTCGTCGTCGCCGCCGCCGTACCGCTCCGTATCGTACGCACGTCGCCGAAAAAACAAACATATTTATTATTGTTGTATTATTTTCGTTTTCCGTTTGGACGGGGACACAATACCGAAACCACCGCGATCGCGTTAACAACGGGTTCGCGTCCGTACGTGTCGCCCGCGCAACAATTGAATATCCGTTCGTTATTATTATTAAAAAAAAAAAAAAATTGTTGTTTTATCATAATTTATTCTATAGATTTTTATTTTTATTTTTCCGCTCGTAAATTTTCGTAAAACCCGCGGAATCACCGCGCGAGCGTCTCGCCGCCGCCTCGGCGTTGCACGTATTTGTTTGTCGCCGGTATTCGCCAACAGTTGACGACGTCCGTTTTTTATATGGTGTTTTATGCGAGTCTAATGGCGCCCGTGTTGGGGTCCTCGAAGCTGGAACCGGAACCTTTCAAGACCGAACACCACAACAACAACGACGAGATGGACATCAAGCAGGGTACTATACGATATGATATTATGTTTTGTTTTTTTTTTTCCCCGCCGATTAATTTTTATCGGATCGACGACACGGACGCACAATCGCACGTTCGGCAACCGCGTAGTACGCCCGATTTTGCGGGAAAGCCGTGGGCAGTCGGTCCGGCGCGCGCGTCGTAATTACCAATCGGCGATTCACCCGCCGGCGCGTGTCCGTCGCGAACCTCCTGGCCGCTGTTCTCGTAATTGTCGCGCGCGGCGCTTGATAAAATTCGGCCGGGTCGAACGATGTTTGATTTGTTGTCTGTTCGTTTCGACTGTTATTCGAAATGCGTTATTAGCGGTAGTTCCTCGGATTAAAGGCCGTCGACACGCATTTACGCGCTCCACCAGCAAAATAATATGCTCGTCTGCGGTGAGCGAGGAGTTTATACAGCCGAAAACGTTTTGTGTTACAACGTTCCAACGTAACAAATGCGCAATAATCGAATTTCGCTTGAATCGAGGTGTACACGTTAACGTTAATAAACTGGTCTCATACCGTATCGCCACCGGTACCGACCGAACGCGCAATGATAACAAGAGACGTCGCGTCAAACGGTCCCGGCCGTTTAAAAAGTTTATTTTATTTATTTTTTTTTTTTTTTCTTAATCTTCGAGCTATTCTCCATACCGTCAATTTAATATCTGACGAGGCTCTCGTTTTGTCGCGGTGTCGGTCCGCCGGAAATCTCGAAATTCGCCGCGGAAAATTATTGTTCGGATTCCCTCGTCGCGTTCGATTCGTTCTATCGGCGCGACACGGGAAACGGACGTTGTCGGTATAAAAAAAAAAAATAATAATAAAAACCACACCGGTAAATCGCCCGGGCTCATACGGACAATTCGCGGTTTCACCCCGACGTTCGCCCGGGGCGGTCAGCGGCGCGGCGTGCCGAGCGTTTTTCGCGCTCGGAACGAGCGAAAAAAACATTTGTACCCGCCCGATCGAGGCGCGGATTTTCACGCGGACTGCGCACAATTGCGGCAACAGTTTTACAGCCGCGGTCGTTAACCGTGCGTAATAAAGGCTGCCGGGCGCGCGTCCGTGTGCCGATCATATCGTAATGCGCATAACCAATTTATTAATTATAAATTATTAACATAACCTTTACCAAACGGCGCGGGGTGCGACGACGATTTCCGAACTAGCCGGACGACATTCGACGCGTTCGATCGGCCGCCCGTTTTCCAGCCGCCTCGATAACGACCCGCGCCACCGACCGAGCGTCGGCGATTCGCCCGCGCGACGACCGCGGCGAAATAACAAAACGTTCCCGTCGGCCGTTATCGTGTGCGTGTTTTTGTTCGGAAAACCCGCGGCGGACGCGTTCCCGCGGTTGTTCCGTTACTCGTGTTATAATTGATTTTCTACAGTAATTTTAATCGCGACGTAAACCGTCGTGCGCGTTGTTGACGTTGCGAAAACGCGACGGTATGATCGCCAAAGGACGTAACGGCCGAAAAATCCCATCGGGTTTCCGGCACACTTGTAACGCGCGTACTACGCGGCGAACGGGTTTTCAGATTGCGATTTTTCGTTGCTTTCCCGCGCCGCGCAAAGTCTACGGGAACACGCGACGAGTGTTACGGGCAATAATATTTACCTAAGGGACTACCCGTCCAATAAAAACGGTATTGACCTAGGCGATGGAAAAAAAAAAAAAACTAAATAAATAAAAACGCTGTAAAACTCGAGACGCACGGAGACCGTATAAAAACTATCGGCGATTGTATAATATTCTGCAGCGACGCGCGTGGTGACCGGGGAGGGGGGGGCGTTTCGGCCGCCGGCCCCTCCCCCTTCTATGACCGTGTTTATGTCGAAAATAATTTTAATTCTCGCTTTATGCATCAGATTGCTAAAGACGTGCTGTGTTTCACGCGTACACAATTATTGAGCATATTAAGTTAAGTGTGTTACGAGCGCGCGATAAACCTACAAAACGCATCGGTAAGAAAAAAAAAAAAAAAATCCTCGCCTTATTATTAACAATACGGCAATTATGGCGCCCCCACCGGTGGGGGTGGAAAAGGTCGGGGGCTGTATCACCGTTCGCGTAGAAATCGGCCGTTAAATTCCCGTTTGTCAGTGGGCCGTTCACCACTGTCGATTCCTATACGGGGGGCCCTTTCGCGATCGAAAATTCCCGGGGCGCGCGCCGAATCGCATTTAAAACCGTGATTTCTGCGGTCGCGGTATTTTTATAGCGCGCGAAAATCGATAAAAACGTTGGATTAAAAAAAAAAAACAAAAAAAATCACGAGGAAATCGGTAATAAAAAAAACCGCATACCTACGAGACGCATTCGACGGATTTCGCTAAGCGTAACCGTCGTTGAGGGGCGACGGAGTAGCGGGAGGACGAAGCGAAGGTCACACCCCCGTTTCGCAATGACATATACGGTCAAATAGGTAGGCGGTTATGTGCCCGTGTCCGCTAACGACCGCGTTTAAGTTTTTGCGGTTTTGCTTCAAGTGTGCGGCTAAGTTCACCGCGCCACTGTTCCGGACGACCGTTGCCGTCGTCTCCCGGGCATTTTCAAACATCGGCGGCGTTTTCGCGTCGGTCGAACCGATTTTTACGGGTAATTAACGGACGGTGTAAACGTCGTCGCCGCTGACGCACGGACAATGATGATATTATGGAAATCGATCGGTCGATACGTTAACGACGTTTTAATACGTTTTTTTTTTTTTTTTTTACCCTTGTTTTCGCATCCCGGGAATGACAAGAATTATTCACGTCGCGATACGCGTACCGTTATAACGGGCGAAAGGACACGGGGAAAAATGTCAGCGATTTTTAGCCACGGATTTGCAGAACACAAGGTCGCGCCGGTCCAAAGGGAAATCGAGAAAACGTATAAGAACACTGTCGTAATTAGGGGGGGGGGGCGTGGATTGTTTTGTTTTCGAAAATATCACCCCGGACAAACGTCGTCAAATAAAATACCTAACCCAAAGTGTATCGATAAATGTCATATAAGTATTATTTGCAGGGGTTTTTTTTTTTTCTTTTCACATAAAACTCGGAGATCGAGACGCGCGAGTGTAAGGAGCTACACCGTCTGGACGTTTTTTATTAATTTATTGTAAAACCCCCTCACGTTGTACCCGCAGATTTTTAGCGGCTCGATAATCGATAATGTGTTAACATTTTCGGCATACAAAAAAAAACGCATTGAAAATTCAGCCAAAAATACGTACCAAGAGTCGGATTTTCGTCCATGAAAAAAAAAAAAAAATCAAAAAACTTATTTATTTTCATCCCGCCCGAGTCGACTACCCTTATTATCCGTATATATACGCTCGTGTCCGCGTGTCCGTCTGCCTTTTCGCCTTCTCGTCGGGTTTTTCTCCCGATTGCCCCGTCCGCGTTTGGGTAACATCCCAATATAATATCTCTGTTCTCTCTCTCATATTTGTCCCCGTATGTTCGTTCTCCCGTTTCTGTTCCACCAGCGGCCTAATCGCTAACGGCAGTCCGGAACGCCGACCTTCGCGGTAACAGCTGTGCACCGAACTTCGGTTTGATTCGCCCGTGGCGGATTATTGAGGAGTATTGCATCGGAAGCGATCCTACGTCAATTGTTTTTAGTAGTTTTATTGTACCTGGGTTTTGCACAAGTAATATCCCGTACGCGTTTAACGCCCCCGGAACGAAATAGATAAATAATATCCGAATTGCGAATCTCCCGTCGCGCCCGATCACGCCGCTCTTAGTCCACTCCTGCCGGACAGCGGATAAAATACAACCGAACAATAATAATAAACACACGTTTGTTGAATAGAAAAATTGCCCGTCAACGCATTGCGTTCGTCATTACTAACGGTGTCGTTATTGTTGATTTTGCAGAAAACGTAAACGACTATCAGATCCATTACGCGCTGAACGCTCTCCTGGAACGGTACAACATCGATCAGCAGCCCAGGGATGAACAGGAATTACGTTCCCTGTTCGTAGACGCCTACCAACGGCTCAAGGACGCCGGCGGCCGGCTCCAGCAACACCACCAGCAGCAACAGCAACAGCAGCTCGAGGCCGCCGCGGCCGCGAGCACGGACGTGGTCCTTTTGCAGATCATGCACCAAGTGTTCGATCTACACCCCGACTGGCTGGACAGGCGGAACAACAATCAGCCGCCGGCCGTAAACGTGTCCGGGGGGCAGGCGCCGGTCGCGGTTCCGGACGACGAGACATCGTCGGTCGCGTCGTCCGCGTCGTCGTCCAACCCGCCGTCGTCCACCATCTCGTCGTCCCGGCAACAGCGGCAGACCAGGCCGTTCAAGTGCACCGTGTGCGGCAAAGAGTTCGGCTACAAGCACGTGCTGCAGAACCACGAACGCACGCACACCGGCGAGAAGCCGTTCGTGTGCTCGGTGTGCAAAAAATGCTTCACCCGGGACCACCATCTCAAGACGCACGTCCGGTTGCACACGGGGGAAAAGCCGTTCTGGTGCCCGCACTGCAATCGGTTCTTCGTGCAGGTAGCCAACTTGCGCCGGCACCTCAAGACGCACACGGGCGAGAGTTCGTATCCGTGCGAGTACTGCGTGGCGTTCTTCGAGACGGCCGCGGACCTCAAGGACCACAAGCGACAGCACAAGGAGAACAGCAAACCGCGCGGCGGCGTGGCCGCGACCAACAAGCCGGCCGCTGGCGCGACACAGAAACGTCGACGCGGCGCCAACAAAGAGGCCGCACCGGGCAACACCGCGGTCGAACAACAGTCGTCCAGCTCGTGGTCGCCGGTCGCCCACGGCTCTCCGCCGCCGTCCCCGCTTCCGTCGGCGGCCAGTAGTTACTGGTCGTCGCCGCCGCCGCAACCGCAGGCCGCGTACGTCCAACAGTATCATCTGCAGCCGCCCGCGGTCTCGCCGCCCGCGATCGCCGCCGTCCAGCAGCAACAGCCGCCGCCGTCGCCCATCGAACCGTATCACTACTTGCAGTTCATCGCCCGGTTTCAGTCGCCCGAACGCGCCAACGAACCGTTCGGCTGTGTCGGCGGCAAGTTCCGGGTACCCGAACAGACCGAACCCGAAGACCTGTCCGTCAAGTCGTCCAAGGCAGCGGCGGCCGCGGCCAACAAAATGATCGTCGACGTGTCCAGGGTGGAACAGCCCGTCGACCTCGCCATGGATCTCACGTGTAAATAGTTTTATTTTTTTTTTTTATTTCCTTTAAACTTTTTATATTATTATTATTATTATGTATTTGATGAATCCTCGTACAGAAAAACCAATCGTAAATATTATTATTATTATTATTTATTTAGCCGGACAAATTTTTGATTAAAACCCGAATCGTAAAGTTTTTTCGGGGGGTTTCTTAAGAGTTCAAAAAAAAAAAAAAAAAAAGTTTTACCGAACTCATTAATTTTGTTTGTTTATTTTTTTTTTTTTTTAACTATTGTAATTTGCATTTTTAGTTTGTATAATTATTATCATTATTTGTTTCGTGACTTTAATCAAAAATATTGTGCAATACATAAAATATTGATGTACAGATAAAAAAAAAAAAATGTGTACAGTTTTTTTTTTAGTATATAAGCCAAAATAATAATTACATTGTGTACGGTTTTTTAATAATGATTTAAACTTTTTATTATTATTATTATTATTATTATTTTTTTTTTTTACGGAGTTTACTTACTACCGTCGTCGTCGCCGTCTCAATAATATTATTGTTGTCGTTATGAATAAAAAGATAGTGAAAAAAAAATTATGTGTCGGTGCTATAGGAGGCGCATATCGACGACAAATAATAAAACGCGGAGGAGGAGGAGGAGGAGTATATTATGTTGTTACGGTGGGCGGCCATATTATCGTTTGTTTTAAACGAAATTTTACGTGTACATAAAAATTTATCTACCAAAAAAAAAAAATTCCAATTCATTAACTATATTAACTTTATATACGCAATGGAAATTCTCGATATTTCAACGTCATTCCCCCGTTTCGTCATATTCGTATAAATATGTAAAGTACAAGTGGCGTATAATGTGATATATTATATAAATTTTTTTTTTTTTATTATTGTTTTTTTTTTTTTTCATTCCTCCGCGTATGCATAAGTATAATATAACAATAATATTATTATGTATTTAAGTAGGTATGTAAATTGTTTCGTAATATAATCATTATTTATTCGTTTATGTACTTATCGTATAATGCATATATTACTTATTAATTGTTATTAATAATTAACGTGTTGTACAAATTATCGTAAAATTAAGACTGAATATTTTGTGAATGATTTATAACATGAACATTGGAAAAAAAAAAAAAAAAAAAAAAAAAAAAACCAAAATAATAAAAATATTGGCTCATTTATGATATTATAATATAGTATACCTAATTACTTATTATTATTCATTCGCCCGTAGGGGTACACCTAATATAATACGATGTATATGATAATAATATTATAATCTGTTTTTGTTGTCCGTCATTGTCGTGTAAAATAATAATATTATTAATAATATTTCGAAATGTGTTTTTATCTTTCTCACTCTCTCTCTTTCTCTCTCTCTCTCTCTCTCTCGCATTGTAATAACGTATAAAAAAAAAAAAAAAAAAACTAAATAAACTACCTAGAGAATATTTTATTATCATCATTATTAGTTTTTGAAACGGAACGTTCGCGAGAACGCCGTTAATTATTGTGCCATTTATATAAAAATTACTAAAATTAATTAATTAATTCATTAGATATTATATTATTCATTATTATTTTGTTAAAGCATTTTGAGTTATGGTCTGAATAAATGTGCTCAAGTCTTAAAAACAAAACCTCGTCGTTTCTTTTTTTTTGTTGTGTATTGTACGTATAATTATAACACACACAATAAACTATAGCGAAATTAACCCGATATTTATTTCCCGGGCTCAGTCCTTGCGAAAAAAACGGAAAGTCGACGTGTTACGTGTCTCCCCGTTCCGCCTTTATCCTCATCGCGGCTAAACGCTGTCGCCCGGTCGCATTTAACATTCGAAAATGTTACTCTTGTTTGTCCGCGTCGCAACCGAATTGAATTATTTTAAGCGACTGTTTTTGTTTCCATAACGTACCGCCAAGGTAATCCGTAGGTTTCGATAGGAAAAAAAAAAGAAATTCGTCTCCTTTTGTTTCGGACGTCGAGCGTGCCACGTTTACCCTCTCAAGATCGGGATCGAGAACGAAAACTGTACATTTTTGTATGGCGGACGCAGACAGACGGGAATTTCAATATAACGTCTTCGGTCCCGGGGACGTAGACACTTTCCGGTATTATTATTATTATTATTTTTTTCGTAAACTGTTATATTTATTTTTTTCGTAAACTGTTATATTTATTTTTCGTTCTAAACGACGGCTTACGCGCGAATATAGGTATACGACGTGTGTTGTCTATAACACGTTTGAGAAAATTCAAATGACTCGGGAGCCGCGAGACGGCACAATAAGCCGTTACCCGAGCCGTTTAGAACGCCCCGGCAATTTATTACGCGAGCGCCGTTTTCAAAATGTTACGTTGGAAACTGGTACACAATTGACCCGGGACCAAAGATATACGGATTGTATATTATAACTTGTTAACTTATAAGTATTTGTCTCCGTCGTTGGTCCTAGACCATTATCTGTACAGGTACTATTATTACATGTTATAACCTATACAGGCGCCGTAGCAGTCGGTGAAATTCTCGAATTTCTCGGTTTGTTCGGTGTGTGCCGTTGTTGTTTTCCTCAAAAAAAAAAAAAAAATCTACCGTTATATTGGCATTAGTGTACGTATACATATGTACGTACTCTATACACGGATGAGGCATGTGCAGCAGCGTATTTCCTTTTGAAGACCGCGCGCGTTTTTTTTTTTATTTTTTTCGTATTTATTTATTTGTATTTTTTTTTTTTTTATTTTATTTTTTAATGGAAAACCGAATGAAATCCCACAAAAATGGGTTAATGCGTTGCAAAATATATATTAATATAAAAAAAAAATATATATAATAATACTGGAGGGTTCAAACAGACCGAGAACATATAACCCCTCGCCGCTGCAAAGAACGGTTTCTTTGCCAAATTAATAATAAAAAAAAAAAAAAAAAGAAGCAGAAGCAGAAGAAAAAGATTCCCGTTATGTCGGGGTGGTTGTAACCGTATATATAGGTATACACCGCAGTAGGTATACGCTGCAGTGTGTGTATTATATCGAGTTTATAGCGAGGAGTAGATGACCTTTTCGCAGCAGGTACACAAAATTTAAACCGAGAGTAGGTTGTGATGTGTGTTGTTGTAGGTACGATCGGGTTTTTTTTTTTTTTTTTTACAATACTTTTACACATATGACGTGCCGAGTGTGTATACGGATGTTTGGAAATATTTTTACGTTATTTTATTTCGTTTTTATTATATTATGTTATACAAAAACGTGTCCGTCCGACGAGATCGCGATACATAATACAATATAATATTATTATACACTCGCCGCCCAACTGTCGTCCCGTCGGCCATTGGAATTAATTATTTAAACGCATACGTACGCGTAGTGCTAACCCGCGTATACACGTGTTTCGAAAACCCGCATTGAAACCAGTATAACACGTCGAAAATAAATAAATACTTAAACTATGATATTGTGTGGTATGAAAATAAAATCGCATTAAAAAAAAGAAAAAATTCCACTAAAAATAAACATTTTCGTTGTTTTTTTGTGTTGTTATTCGATATTTTACGTTATTCAACGGCGTAATATTTTCGACATTTATTTTCTCAAAATGTATGCGTATGTATGCGTGGTGTTAAATGACATGACGTAAAATATAAAAAGTACATATATTATGTCGAAAAGTTTAAAATAAAAAAATTAGCTAACCTTTTTTTGTATAGATATTAAAAGTATCACTAAACACTTATATTGTATAGCAGTCGATATCGAAAAAAAGGTTGCGATTTGCATCCTAATGGCTCTGCCTATTATTGTATATTTATATACTCTTTAATATTTTCGTTTAAAAATCTGTCGATTGTTTTTCGTTCTTCGTTTTTTTTTCTATTTGTTACGGACCACCGATAAAAACAATCAAACGTTCGAATTGTAATACATGGGAATTATCGCAATTTAAAAAATAGTTTAAAAATTAAAATGGCAAAAAACACCTGTGCACGGTTGGACGGGTAATGCTCCTAACTTTAAGTTTGATAACAGGTCAATTCCCTGTAGTATAAAAGCAGCGTAAATTCGTCCCTGCTGAACTCAAATTTACTAGGTCGTAACATTTTAAGGCCGAGACAGGCCACTGCCCACTTAAGCCCGTTTATTCAGCCGCACGTGGCTTCTTACTCTTGATATGCATATAATAATACATTAAATGTACGCTGTTTATTTGACCCGAAACTCAATCGATAATTAAAAAAACAAATGGTCCATTCAAACGCAGTGTCTAACCGTAAAATAAAAACGAAAATTGCGCCTTCAAGAAAAAATCCGTAGTCACGCAGTAGCGACTCGCGCAAAGAGAAGTGGATTGAAAAATTCGATGAAAACTCCATCTATATAACACGAGGTTTATTGAGTGTGGATATTTTTATCTCGCTTTTCGTAGGTAGTAGAGGTTTATATATACCTACTGTTACTTCGCTCGACTCATCGTTTTCCGTACGGTGGGCGTATTTTTCTATATTCGGAATTCTTCTAAAAAATAAAAAAAAAAATGTTTGTTTTTTTTTTTTTTACGCGATTGATACACGTATGCCTTCGAGAGAATATAAAAGAAAGTAAAAGGGAAAAATTCGTGTTCAATAATAGGGAAGTATATTATTATGACGTTATTATTGCCGTCAGTGTTTTCGTAAGCGCGATTCGAACGCGGGCGTATTATCGTCGGTTTTTGATCCGCAGGGGAAAAAACTTAAAATATACTATGTTTTTGTGAGGACACCGTCTTAACGACTACCGCGGTCGCATCCGATGCCGGTGAACCACGCTACATGTCCTCGAGACTTGTTGGCAAATAAAAAAAAAAAAACGTATTACTTAAATGACAACATAATAATATACTCGAGAGAAACTATACGTCTTCACTACTATGTGGGAAGTACGAAAACACATTTTTACTGTATTATCGCCCGTTAGATAGACTGTGGAAACGGCAAATATTACTGCGACACATTTATCTACTGTCGCACTCTTACTAAATGACGACATGGCAAAATTGCACAACTTGGAACTCAAATTGTTGGCATTTACGTTGAAATTAGAGTTTTAAAATAAATAACAAAATTATTATTTTAATAATATAAACAAATTTCCAACGGCTGTGCGTATCTTTTTTAATGAAAATTGTTTAGAAAAGAAATTACGTTCAGTCCAATATTTTCCTCTTTAAATTTTATTATTTTTATTTAACTCTAATTTCAACCTAAACGGTACAATTTACATTCTAAGTTGTGTAATTTTGCTACGTTGCCCATTATAGTTACAGTCTAACTTTACTGTTAGACCCTGACAATAGACGCTCGCCTTGTTATTATTTTGGGAACCATTGATTTGAATATTATTCGATTCCTCTGGTGCTATTAATACCTTCAATTTATATTTCCAAACATAATTTTGTAAATGAAAGCGTTTTATAAATATTTCTTGATAACTTGTAGACCTGCAGTCATCAATGAGCGTTCGGCTCACTCGATAGTGTTTCGATGTTCCGTGTTAATTTGAGTGTTTAATAACAATAACAAAACAATAATAAGGTGAACGTGACTAGATACCAATGGTGAAACATTACGTAGCGTCGTAGCGACACGAACGACGGGTTAATTATTTATTGGATAACAAATGGCTTTTAAATTCCGTTTGTCGGGTTAATCAGTTATGGGTATATAGAAGAAGATCCCATACATGATTTATTCGTATTCATCGTCATTGCCGCAACGATAAGCCATTGCAAATTAAAAACGATTCTGAGCAAAATGTATTTTATACATATACGTAAACTTTCCATTTTTCCCAATTATTATGAAAAACCACTTGAAAACCCTTCCGAAAAAACCCCTCCCTAAAGCGTACCACCCAGATAAATTTTCCTTTCAGAAAAGGTACTACACTTGAAAATCTAAGCGAGATTTCTGGTAGAAAAGTTATTCACATATAAAAAAAAAACATTGCGAAACCGAGACATGTACCTTGCTGTGCTCCGAATCTGAAAATTCGAGAATTCAACCGACATGCTTGAGATTCAATAACAACTCGTGGTTTTCGATTTTAGTCGGATCGGTTATCGGTTTTATATATACCGGAAGCAAATATCGCGGTGTATCGGATATCGAATAAAGTCAGTTCACAATTAGTTAAAACTAGTTTAAGGGATCGGAAAGTTATTGAGAGGATTCCGGAATCTTAAATTTTCGTCTTTCGTAAGCAGTCAATGTCTAAATACGGGGCGGACTGGGAACTCGCAGGTCGAACGCTGCGTAAAAGTTTGTCTAGAGTTGTTTTTTGTTTGCATCACACACGAGTTGAGGAAGTAACGGTTTGTGGCGTGACAATATTAATAATGTTTTCGACGTTTCTATGTATCATAATATTATTTACGCGAGAAATTGTTCGCCCTTTCTTCCCCCACTCCCTGAATGGTTTAAAGGTTTTTATATCGCCACATATAAGTCGTATTCAACCGTTGTTCGTTTAGCTTATGATTTTTCAACGGCGCTCTAATAATCTTATATTATATTATTGTTGTATTTTTATTCTCAAAACAATATTATTAACATCGTTTCGCAGGAAAATCCGATTC